GATGTATAGAAATCTGATTTTTGTGTGTCGACCTGTTCCCTGCTGAATACATTTATGAGCTCTAATAGCTTTCTTGTGGAATGATTGGGATATTCTATAGATAAGATGATGTCATCTGTGAAAAGGGATAGTTTTACTTCCTTCTTCCCGATTTGGATCTCTCTGTTTTTTTCTAGCCTAATTGCTCTGTCTAGGACTTTTCAGTACAATGGTGAATAGCAGTGGTGAGAGTGGGCATCCTTGTCTTGTTCCTGATCTTAATGGGAGTGCTCTCAGTCTTTCTTCATTAAGTATGATGTTAGCTGTGGGTTTTTCATGAATGACTGTTATCACATTGAAGAAATTTGCTCACAGCTTATTACCTAAGTTGAACCCTCAGTCAACAGGATGTTGCACAGCTGATCACTCCCTCTTTCTGGACACACTTTTTTTCTTGTCTTTTAGGACATCACAGTATTCTTTAAATATCTTTCTCTTGCTGTGTATTTGTTTCATCTTTCACTTTCCTTCCTGATCACTTCTCAGTTTATGCCCCAGGGCGCAGTCCTTGAACCTTTTCTCTGTCTACACCCACAGCCTTTCCCTGTCATCTCATCTCACGTCACGTCTTTAAACACCTCGACATCTCCCAGTTCCACCTCTCCAGCCCAGACTTTTCCCCTGAACTCCAGACTCATGTGACCAGGTGGCTCTTGGAAATCTCTGCTGAGGCCTCTAGCAGGCATCTCCACCTTAAAGTGTGCAAAAAGTGACCTTATGACATCCTGTATTCCCCTTAAACTCCTCCAGGTCTCAGTTCAGGGCTGCTCTGACATTCCTCAGGATCAGGTGAACATCTTGGCATGTTTTAAAAATATACAGCACTTGGGGCTTGGTATCAGGGCCAGGTTTGTGACCTGAATGGGAGGATCAGTCCAGGTCAGATCCACCTAATGCAGTGAAGTGTGTGGTCAACACCAGGGAGAGAGAGCAATAAACTCACCTGTTGGTCTCCATGTAGAGGTTTCTTGTCCCTGAATCCCTTGTGGTACAGAAGGAAGCAGGGACCATCTTCCCCCATTGTGAGGTTCTCCTTACATGTGTGGTTTTGACAGGGGAAAGGGACGTGTTGATGCTAAGCAATTTAACAGCCTGTTTTTCACACTCAGGATTGACTTCTCAAGACTCATCTTGCCAGAGAAAGAAGTTGAGAGGACTAAGAGATTAAGAGGAGTCCAGAATGGCTCTTTCTCAGGTAGCTGTCATATTCTTGGTGTATGGTTCTGTCCTCTCCTTACTGAAATGCTGTCCAGAGAATTTGCTCATCTCCTCTGGTGTGTCCTGCCTGACACATTTGCTCACACTCACCAACGGCTTCCCTCCATCGCCTTTCACCTTCATGCATATTCCATCTCATGGTGTGACCCAATGACATGGGACTTGTGAAGAGGCTCCATTTGGGGAGCGTCATGGGAAGTGCTTCATACCAGGCCTGGGTTGGAGACAGGGATTGGGCCCTGTGAGGGCAGTGAGGGTGGGCAGCAGGAGGTCTTTAGGGGCTGCATCTGCATGCCCTCAGCTCTCTGTGGACGAGCATTAAGGCATCTGCACATTTACGTGCTGTATTAATCTGCAAGAACAGGTGAAAATTCTGGAAAAGAAGACTTACAATGGGAAACCTACTCTGCCTGATTTTTAATACATTTGAAGCTAAACAAGTGAATCTGTGTTATTGGTTCTGAAGTATTAATGATTAGAGATGGAGTGGAAAATTTGGTAACAGACATCAGTAATAGAGAATGCTTTATTGCATAATTAGTTTTAAAATATGAATGTCTGTGTCTTAGGCTGCATTCTCTAGAGAAGCAAAACCAGTAAAATGTGTGAATATATATATAGAGAGAGATTTATATCAAGGAAATGGCTCATGTGATTGTAGAGGCTGGAATGTCCCAAGTCTGTGGGTCAGAATAGAGACTTCTCCTGATTGAGGTAGCTGCAGGGACTGGCAAACCCAAGATCGCAGGTCAGATAGCAGGGCTCTTGCTCACAGGCTGCAAAGATCGACGGGTCCCAAGATTGGCAGGCAAGACAGCGGGTAAGCTGCTAGCTCAAATCCTAAGAACCAGAGGTCAGATGAACAGGAGCCAGCTGCAGGATCCAGTGCGAGCAAAAGCCCACAAGCCTTGCCAGAGAGTCCACTTTTATTTGAGGCAGGCCACACGCCCAAGGAGACTCACTTTCAACTGATTGGCTACTCACAGCAGATCCCATCATGGAGATGATCACATATCCTATCAAATCTCTTCATGGAAGGGATCACATCATCATATGACTGCCAAACTACATCATAACTGCCAGACCACTGAGAATCATGGCCTAACCAAGTTGATACATCCTTAACGATCATAGTCTGCTAGTAGGAGGTTCTTTAAATCATTCACAGCACATATGCATGGAGAATCAAATCCCAGTTCTCACATCTCTGATACCAGATGTGTTATTAATAGGATATCAGCCATAAGTTCTGGGGGTCCTAGCTGTCCTCACTTCTGACCTGCTGGCTCCTAATACTACCTGGGGTTTTGTAATTTGCTGGGACGACTCACAGATCTCGTGGAACGTACTATCCTTAGGATTACAATTTTGTTATAGAGAAAGGATGTAAACGAAGAGACACATAGGGCAAGGTTGGGGAGAATTCCCAATATGGTGTTTCCATATCAGAAGGACATGCTGCCCTCGCATGTGCATTGATGTTTTTCACCAACCAAGGAGCCCATAGAGCATCAGTGTCCAGAACACTGATTGAGGGTCTCATTATGTAATTCAAGTTCCAGACCCTGTCCTCTGAGTTGGGTTGATATCATGAGGCTTTATGTTATGGTGTTTATATCACAAGGTTGACATCATGAAGTGAGTCTTTCTGTCCTGTCCTGCCCCCACTAAAGAGTCACCTGATTAGCATAACCTGCTAGGCTAGATGCTCAAAGATACTCAAGGCTGGGGAAAATACAAGAATTTAGAGATTATCTCTCAAGAATAAAGGACAAAGACTAAATTTTTTGGGTAAAGTTAAAGGAAAACCCAGAACAGCCATCACTTGGAGACAGTGGTGTTTGTTCAGGAACTCTCCTTCAGTAGGAGAGTTTCTGATAAAAATGGTTTTCATTCAGGCAAGAGGTAGGAACAGAACTTTGTCTTCAGTAGGAATAGAAGCAAATACTGATTCGACCTTTGTTATTAAATATTTTATTTCTTTTATTTTTAACATACATAATGGAAATATATATTTTGTGGTAAAACTAGAAACAATAATGCCCATAGGGAATACGTGGAAACCTTCTCTACCCTGTGACATCCTCTGCCATCACTCACAGCCTCCATCAGGAACCAATCTTGTCATTTCTGAGACAAGAGTCAGTGCAGGTCTTGGTAAAAGGCATCATTATGTGATGTGATTTAAACAAAATTTCTCCAGTGAATGTGTTGTTGTGATATTCTTTAACTTTAAAAAATTTACATACCATACGTCTTGGAATTTTTTCATGTTAGTAAACATCGAGATAACTTGCTCTTTTAAATCCTTGTTAGAGCGTTCTCATAATGAACATATATGGGTCATTTACAATTTTTGCTATTATAAAGAATGTCGTAGTTGTTACTTCTGAGTACCTTGACTTCTTTCCAGATGGCTGCAGGTTCCTCCAGGTTGGGGATCTTGAAGAGTGATTGCTGCATCTTGGATACTGCATTTGTGTTTTGAAAGATTCTGGAAAAATGCTGCAGAACATAACATCTAGCACTTATACATAGACAACCCTGTGGGAATTCTTTTTACTTGCTTATTTTCTTTTATTGTCCATCAGAATGAAATCCCTGGTGATGCAATGGATTTCATATCCTTTGATGGAAAAGTATAATTGGAAAAATGGCACGGGGGCAGCATCTGACCTCCTCTAATCTCACGCTAGGAAAGAAGAATCAAGATCAACAGCCGAAGGCTGATTCCTATGAGGCAGAGGTCAGACATGCCTCCTGTCTCCACAATCTTTACCAGTTCTGACACCATCCATCCCTCTCTTGGTACTCTGTACTTCTCTGCTGGGTTCAATAATTCATTGCAGTGGCCACAGAACTCAGACAATACTCATGATAATGGGGTTTATTAGGGAAGTAACAGGTAACAATTCAGGTTCAGGAACTCTCAGGATACAGTTTTTCCATCAGGATAGCCACTACTCAGCTGTTCCCACAGGCCAGCCTCTCCCTGGCCCTTGGCCTCTGCCCAGTTCCGACAAGTGTTACAAAGCTCTTTTAGCTCTGATAGTAAGTACCCCAAGGCACCCTACTCTGCCAGTAAGCATAAGCTGAAATCACTCAGCTCTAACTCCCTGGGTCAGCAAACCTAGCTCTACCGAGTACTCAGATGCACCCTACTTCTCCAGCAAGCTTCCTGTCCAAAGGCACTCAGCTTTCTCGCTCTGTGGGCTGAGAAGCCCACCGCACCATCCCTGCCGATCTCTCCTGCCGCTGCTTCTCTGCCACCACTTCTCACCATCTTCAGTGTTACAGCTCTCTCAGTTTCCTGGTTCCTGGGTCCAAAAGATGCACTCCACTCCTGTCTCTTCTTTATTGGTGATGGTGAGATCCTCTGTTTCCCACCTCTGGGATGGCTCATTTTAAGCCTAGTGGGATGGCAAAACTGATAAGTCCCTTCATACGGTTCCACAGTCCTTGTTTACATGGTCCCCCCAATCACTTTTGTGGGAGTCACAAGACCATGGCGAGAAACACCACACGAAAGCAGTCCATTGCACCACAATAATAAAACACAATTAGGGACGTATAACTTGCTCAGTATTGTCTTATGTGGATCTGTCAAGCCTCTCAAACTTCTCACATTAACCGACTTGATCTGTATACCATTCTTCTTTTGTCATTTTGTGTGAAAATAAGAATTCTCCCTTTTCCACTTGTGAAAGGTAGTTTTATGTTTTGTTTCTTTTTGTTTTTTATAGGGACTGTTGACATTCGGGGATGTGGCCATAGAATTCTCTCAGGAGGAATGGGAATGCCTAAACCCTGCTCAGAGGGCTTTGTACAGGGATGTGATGTTGGAGAACTTCAGGAACCTGGTCTCCCTGGGTGAGCATAACTTCCCTCCACATGTAGAATCTGCCCTTCTGTATCATTGCATTTTCCCTGTCAGTATCTTGGAAGCCCCAGCACTGCTGGATGGACATTGAAATCTCTGTTCTTATGGCAGAGATTGAAGTTGGTTCAGAATGTAAAAGTTCATAATATGGCATCGGAACTTCAGCCTTCCCCTTTCTTCAGATGATCTGTCCATTTCACTCAAGGTCCTTGCTGGTTCCATGCCTTATCGTAAGCACAAAACCTTATGGCCAACTTTTAATATATCCAGTTGTCTGGCTTTACTTCCATGCCTTTGATTAATTCTTGGAAGAGAGATGTCTACATAATTAATACATTCCCTAAGTATTCCAAAGGAGGCAGTCAGTGGATGAATGTTTGAAATACTCTTCTAGATCTATGATGTTCTAAGCCGAACACATGGCTTGGATTGTATTCAAAAGCTACAGCACACCATGTTCCTTTTTTCTGATAAGCAGGAATCTCTCCTTTTGAGATGAATATTATCTCCATTTTGAAGAAAGGGACAGAGCTCTGGATGGTGGAGAAGAAGATGAAACTAGCAAATAACACAGGTATGTGGGAATGTTACCAAGATATGAATGTAGGTGTCTTGTTTCTTAGAGCTGCTCTTACAGAAATTACAGCTAGTGGGTGACTCTAACAAGCAGAAATATCTTTTCTCACAGGTTAGGATGCTAGAAGTTCAAAATCATGACACCGGCTGTAAGGGAAGGCTTTCTGTCTCTGTCAGCTCTAGGCAAAGGTCATTGTCTCTTTTCAGCTTCTGTTCCTTGGATCTTGGTGATCTTCATGTGCATGTATTTGCCCTCTGTTTGTCCTAACTTCCTTCTGTGTCAGATATGTTCATTTATAAATGATTGGCTTAAGAAATACTGACATGGCCTCATTAACATAAAAAATAAATTACTATTCCCAATAGGATTACATCCACAAGTATAGGGTAAGGATTTATATCACGTAATTTTTGGGAGATACAGTTCAATCTGTAACAATAGGTAAGAGGTCAAATGGTTAGACAAGAAACCACACCATTAAATATGGTTTAGAGAATCTCTCCCCCAGGGGAAAAACACAAGTTTTTTTCTTGTGATCTCTCAAAGGAAATTTTTCTTCCCTACTCTCCCCTGCACCCCACATATCACTCTCTTCAGATGTGTGAAAGTGCATCTGCCAGCGGTGCTGCAGCTCAAGCAGAGACAAAGGCAGTGTCTTTATTATGACCTACAACATGCCATTATCTGGTCACTAGAACATTTTGCTGCCATGGTTTTGATAGGGACGATGAGGGCTGTTTCAAAGGGGTTGTTCTTACTCTTTGGTTTCACCTTCTGTACTTGATTTTATGTGATCCTCAGTTCTCAGTTAATTCAGGTCATAGCTGAGGCCTCCATTGTCTTGAAGCATCTATCCAGATTTTGCGCTCATTGCAGACCTTCTCAGGAGATGGCAGAGCATTTCTGTCTCTTCCGTGAGGCCCCAGGAAATTGCATAGGACTTTTACCAGACCTGTCTTGAGTGTTCAGGCCCCTCAGACATTTCTTGACTCCTGCCTCTATACTTCAGGGGTGTGTGTTAACAGGAGAGTGGGGTGGAACTTCTAAGATTGTTACTCAGCAGTACTGTAAAGACATTAGCAAGAGAGATCTTCTTTTACAGCTTCCATCCTGCACAGGAACCTTATCTCTGTCTGTCATATTCTCAGCTTTTGTTTATGGGCAGAGCACACAGCCCCTTCTGTAGGACCTCACCAATTCTGATGCCCTTATTTTACTCCCATATCTTGTATTTTTCTCCTTGCTCGAGCTCTCTACATAGACCGGGAATGTTGAAAAACCTTGGCTCTTCTTGGTTTTATATTCTCCTTAAGTTTGTGTAATTTTCCTCTGAAACTTGCTGTTAAGGAACACATTCCTAGTCTGAAATGTCACCCTTCTTCTTCTGCTGTGTCAACCTACCCTTTATTAATGAACCACTTTAGGTGGACTTCACCAAGGAAAGGGTTACCGGGTAACAGAAAATTCTTGAAGGAAAACACTGATTAGTATGTAAAATTATATCCTGGTAAATATAGAATATGGTCACATCTGTTCTTGAGATGGTCTCTAAATTCAGGTGGGATATACTCAAAGTCATACTTTGGCGCTAGTGAACTTGTTTTAATTTTCCTTAGCTTTCACTTGAACTTGCATATGAGCAATTGATCTGTTCCGCAGTCAGTCTCTGGCCTTCTTCTGAGTGATAATATTGAGCTGCTTCATTGTCTCTTTCTACAGATGTAGTTGATTTGTTTTCTGTGTATTCCATCCAGCAAGGTCGACTTGTATAGTCACTGTTTATGGCATGGAGAAAAACTATTTCCAATGAATAATGCATTGGTCTTGGAAAATTCTGTCATGCGATTTCCAGCATTGTTTCTATCACCAAGGCTATATTTTCCAACTACTGATTGTACTTATTTGTTTCTACTTTCGCATTCCAATCACCAGTAATTATTACTGCATCTGGATTTCAAATTTGGTCAATTTCAGACTGCAGAAGTTGGTAAATGTCTTCAGTTTCTACATCATTGGCATTATTGGTTGGTGCTTAAATTTGAATAACAGTTGTATTAACTGGTCTTCATTGTGCGCCTATGGATATTATCCTATCACTGACAGCATTGTACTTCAGGACAGATCTTGAAATGTTCTTTTTATGATGAATGAAATGCTGTTCCTCTTCAATTTGTCATTACTGGCATAGCGGACCATATGATTGTTGATTCAAAATGGCCAATACCAACCCATTTCAGTTTACTATATCAATCTCCAAATATTCCATTTCATTTTTATGATTTCCAGTAGTTCTTGATTCATACAACGTACCTTCCATGTCCTGATTACTAATGAATGGATGTAGCTGTTTCTTCTCATTTTGAGTTGTGCCACATTAGCAAACGAAGGTTCCAAAAGCTTTACTCCATCCACATCATTAAGGTCGACTCCACTAATGACTAAAGACCAGAAGAGTTATTGGATTACATCAAGGACATTGTATATGAAGAAAGTAAGAGTCAGTAAAATGAAAGAAAAGACCAATACGGATGTCCGAAGGGACTCTGAAACTTGCTGTTGAACGGAGAGTAGTTAAAGTGAATGTAAGAAATGATGAAGTAAATGGAACAGAATATTTCAAAGGGCGGCTCAAGAAGACAGAGTATTATGATGAAATGTACAAAGATCTAGAGTTAGAAAACCAAAATGGAAGAACACATTTGGCATTTCTCAAGCTGAAAGAACTGAAGAAAAAATTCAAGCCTCCAGTTACAATATTGAAAGATTCTGTAGGCAAAAAACTGAATGACACAATTCTCAATCATTTCTGACACCAGCCACCCTCATGGTATTTTCTCTCTCTGAACCTAACAACCCAGAGTTCGGTCAGACCTTACAAGTAAAATGACACAGTCCTTCCAGTCAACTTCCTGTGCTGCCTTTCTCCTACCCAGGTCAATAGACACAAGTCAGAAGAACCTTGTCCTTCAGACTGCCAAGTGCCAGCTTGTGCTGGCTCATGGTCCTTGGTGGGTTCAGTAATTCCCTAGAATGACTCACAGAACTCACAAAAAGGGCTGTATTTACAGTAATAGATTTAATATAACCACAAAAAGATACACATTAAGAGATACAGGTGTGCCCTGGGAGGGGTCCTGGCATCAGATTTCCATTATTCACATGGATGTACTGCACTCTCTCCAATCCAGGAAACCCAAGTATTTCTGTGTTCAAGGGCTCTTATAACATTCAGTGGACCATAATGCATAGTCATGATTGTTGTTATTGTTGTTCAATGCTGTTGAGTTGGTTCCGACTCATAGTGACCCTTTGTACAGCAGAATGAAACCCTGCCTGGTCCTGCGCCATCCTTACAAAGGTTGTTATGCTTGAGCCCACGGTTGCAGCCACTGTGTCAATCCATCTGGTTGAGGGTCTTCCTCGTTTTCACTGAGCCTGTGCTCTACGAAGCATGATGTCCTTCTCCAGAGACTGGTCCCTCCTGATAACATGTCCGAAGTATGTGAGACAGTCTCACCATCCTTGCTTCTAATGAGCATTCTAGGTGTACTTCTTTCAAGACGGTTTTGTTCATTCTTCTGGAAGTCAATGGTATATTTAATATTCTTCTCCAGCACCATAATTCAAAGGCATCAATTCTTCTTCAGTCTTCCTTATTCACTGTCCAGCTTTCACATGCATATGAGGTGACTGAAAACACCATGGCTTGGGTCAGGCGCACCTTAGTCCATAAAGTGACTGACATCTTTGCTTTCAACACTTTAAAGAGATGTTTTGCAGCAGATTTACCCAATGCAATGTGTCATTTGATTTCTTGACCGCTGCTTCCATGGGCGTTGATTGTGGATCCAAGCAAAATGAAATCCTTGACAACTTCAGCCTTCTCAGTTTATCATGATGTTGCTTACTGGTCCAGTTGTGAGGATTTTTGTTTTCTTTATGTTGAGGTGTAATCCATACTGAAGGCTGTGGTCTTTGAACTTCATCATTAAGTGCTTCTTAAGAGTTCAACTGCTAACCGAAAGGTCTGCAGTTTGAATCCACCAGCTGCTCCTTGGAAACCCTGTGGGGTAGTTCTGCTCTGTCCTGTAGGGTCGCTGTAAGTTCATCCCATGTGTGTGTCATCGTTCATTCCCTTTCAACAAATATTCTTTGGATGCATCATGTTGAAGGACCTCAAGATATTGAACAATGCCTACATTTTTTAACTCTACTGTAATTTGTTTTAACCATTTCAGCTACTGCTATGTTCATCTTGCACATTTTCATGTTTTATAATTCAATATCTTTTTTATTTATTTAATCATTTTGCAGATAAGAATCAATGTAAGTCCAATCCCCAAAATGAAGATTGATCAAATCCCCAATTTCCCAATTCATTCTCTATGACACCACCCTACGAGACACTCCCTCTTTCTTCCCCTGCCCACCTGACACTGGGTCACAGCACACAATTTACAAGCACACTGTCATTAAGATTGCCAAATAAGTGGACATCTGCCACAAGTTTGGGAGTCCACATGACACCCTCACTTTACCTGACGGTCACAAATTTGGATTTTTCCTCTGTGCCTTCCAGATGGCAGCCACATGCTAGAGGGCCTTTCTTGGGCTCCCTCGCTTTCCTCTTCTGGCTCCCACTATTCGTTTTAGTTCCATAACTCCCTTGCATGACTTACAGAAGTCACAGAAAGTACTATACATATAATTACAGATTTAATATAACAATAGGTACAAATCAGGATTATCATTGGGAAGGGACTGCTTGTCAAGATCTGAGACGATTCCCAGCGTGAAGCTTCCATATGCAAGAGGAAGTAGCACCTTCTCTTCACCAGCCAGGAAGCTCTTGGAGCCTTTATGTTTAGAGCCTTTGTTAGCTTTGTTACGTAGTCATAATTGAGGCATCCTTACGTATGTATGATATATTAAATCATGCCTTCTGAGGTTAGTTGATATTGGGCTACCACGTGGTCTTTGTGGTCTGTCCAGCTGCC